GCCCTCACTCAGGCCTCTTAAATAGACCTTAGCTGTATCTCAGGAAAGAGAAGGAAAACTTTTCGTGGGAATTTATTAAAAAACAGTTTCTGCAACAACATATAAGTGTCTCTCCATTTGCTGCATAATACCTGCATTAGCTAGGGTGTTTTGTTTATAAGTAAGAGAATCTAACTCTAAGGGGGGAACGGAATTTAGTCAAAAAGACAATGGTTTACACTATTTTATTGATAACTTATAATTTAAATTTGGGGGAAATAGTTGATAATTAAAAGTGATAAGGCAAATATTCTGTATAGCTATGTTCACAAATTATAAAATTGAGATAAAAGTTATAAATACTATTAAAATATATTAAATATATAATATGTAAGAAAAATAAAAGAATATAATTATTTTTTAAAATGTATTACCATAAAACTTCCATAGTTGGCCATTTCCTTACATTGACCACCTCATTAAGTTGACTTAATTTCCATAGACCAGATGTGCACCACATGTACACATCAGTACAGCAGGCCTGGTTGCTTATGTTGCCTCCCTCTGTATGTTGACCAGTTTGTTACAGTCCCTTAGGTGGTCAGCTTACAGGGTTCTACTGTATTTAGAACCTTCCTATTAAAAAAAAAAAAGAAAAGAAAAAAAGACAAACATACCAAATGGCTTCACTGGCAAGTTCTAACAAAAGTTGAAGGTTGAGACATTCACACGCATCAAAGTCTTCCAGAAAAAAGAGAAGGAGAGAGAAGTCCCCAACTTCTTCTATGAGGTTAGTGTTACCTTGATATCAGAATCCAACAATGGACTTCTGTTTCTAGAAAAATGAAGTAGAAATGTTTTTTTTAATTCCTCTTGCTAAGCACAGACACAAACCCCACACATTATGAGTACAACAGAAAGGTGGAGAGGAACAGCAGACGGGCAGGGGCCTCAGAAGTGAGGAACGGAGCAGCAGCAGGTAAGCTCTGGCATCTCTTTATACTTCACTTATCCTGTGTGTGTGAAGACGAGAAGGGAGAAGCGGGCAATCCAGAAGTGTTAATGGGCACAGATGGAAAAAGTCCTCAAAAGCCTGGTCTCTATAGTGAAAGGACCTAAAAAGTGGCAACCAGCAAAACAGAAATCTTTAGACACTTACCCCTCTCCTCCAGCCAAGGACTACAGAAAAACTCGGTGCCCTCCCTCCCACCAGCAGGGGCTAAATAGGGCCACTTTGGCTTTCACCCTGGCCAGACTATGATGAGATACCCAAGAACAAGATAAATCCACACCACGACGCATCATGAGTCAACTTCTGAAAGCTAAAAACAAAGAAAAAGATTTTTAAACAATCAGATAGAAACAATGCATTCTTTGCATTGAAAACTAATTCAAATGACAGCAGGTTTCCCTTCAGAAACCATAGAGCAAGCATCCTCAAACTACAGCCCACAGGCCACATGCAGCCTGCCTAGGACATTTATCCAGCCCGCTGGGGGTTTTTGCCACCGCTGCCTTGTCCTGCTTAGCAGCCGACTCGTCCTGGGGCCCACAGTCCAGCCCTCCAACGGTCTGAGGGACAGTGAACTGGCCCCCTGTTTAAAAAGTTTGAGGACCCCTGCCATAGAGGCTAGAAGGAAGTAGCAAAACATATTTTTAAGAGAGACCCCTAAGATCAAGAACAAGGCAAGGCTGTCTGCTCCCACCACTGCTCTCTAACACTGTAATGGAAGGTCTAACCAGAGTAGTAATGCAAGAAAAGGACAGAAAAGGCATACAGATTAGAAAGGAGGATATAAAACTATCCCTATTTGCAGGGGACAAATTCTGTCTACATAGAAAATTTCAAAAAATTCTACAAGGCTTGCCATGGATCCAGGATATTATATTTGGGGGTGGAGCATCAGAAGGAGAGGTGCAGAAGGATTGTCTCAGACTCTGTATAGATGGTCTTTAACTCCTACAAAGGAGACTCGAAGTTGCCATGCAAATTCATGTGATACAGCATTCCAGTTCAAAATCCTTGCATAAATGGGTAAGGGGTGACTTGTCTAAATCCTTCACTATGTATGCACCAGTTTATATTTAAATAACCTTCTGTAAAATAGCTTTCTTTCAATCTCTATACATATTCATGAAGACACACCATCAGCATTGACAGATAGCCAAGAAGAAAAGAGAAAAATCCTATCACACTGACAAGACAATTTCCTTGGTTAATGTAATCAGATAGCACAGCTACATTTTTTGTTAATCTGAATTTAGTTTAAATAGCTAAAGAGCTTTATTCACTTCGTGATAAAAATTAGACACTTGCAAAATAAGTTTCTGACAACTCACATAAATTTATTTTTGCAATAATCATTTAGTGCAGGTGGCTTTTAAAAAATGCATTAAATTGACATCAGATCAAGATGAAATAACCTGATTTCTGAAACTGCACATCAAATGCTTTCCCAGGCTTCCTTCAGAGCAGCACAAGGTGCCAGCTTAGGAACTATGCAATTTTTTACTTTATTTTTTGCTTTACTTGGAAAACTTAACCGACATAATTTGCTAACATACTTTTGAAGCAGATCATTTTAAACCAGATTACATTGTCTAATGCTTAAGACCAAGTGACAAGTGAGACAGAAGGGAAGGAGAATTTAATGCTAATTTGCCTAGGATTTGGTTTTAGTATGAAAATAGGACCACTGATGATAGAAGGGGGTGTTTCTGGAATGTATCTGATCATGAGACTTATCTGGGAGCTTGTTTAAAAGTATGGACTCCCAGATCTCATCCCTGGAGGTTCTAATTCCTAAGATGTGGGATGGAACTCAGCAGTGTGTATTATTATTTTTAAAAGCACTAGATGAGTTTTAGGATTGGGCCAAATGTGGTATTATGGAAAGAACACTGACCCAGTTGTAAAGTTTAAAACAGCAGGGTTGCCAGTTCTTCGGCGCATTCTTACCCAATCCATTTAATCCCACTAGGTCTAATGTTCTCACCTAAGATGCACAATGTAAGGGTACACAGCACACCCCCAGGGTGAAGGGCGCAACTACAACTTGAACTTTGCCTTTGAAACAAAACAATGTCACCTAAACATTTGTATCCTCTTATCAATCTGAAAAATTTAAAAAAAGTTTCAGTTTTAGTCAACAAACCCTGTGAAGATGGGATGCTCTCTGCTCCCTCCCCAGGGCACAGCCTGCTGCCTGGCCAGGACAGCACTCACCAGTACTGCTAATTCACCATTCACATGAGCTGGGAGGTTCCTTTTGGCTTTAAATTATGTAATTCTAAAGTAAAGAAGTAATAAAACAATGCATTTGCTTCACCAGTTACAAAATAATAATTATTCTCAAAATAAAACACAATATAAACCAACGAATCCCCCCCCCCCAACCCACCCCCATGCACTCCTTCCTGGTTGCAGGCCTGGTGAGTATTTCAAAGGGTTATGCCTTGGTTTGATTTCACATCCTTACTGAGCTGCAATGGTTAAAGCAACAAATTGGAAACACTTAGCACAATGTTTGGCTCATTGTAGATGTTCAGTAAAAGTGAGCTGGATTAGGAAAACCCAGTCAATTTTGCTACACAGACAGGAGGACCGCATGATTTTTAGAACTTCGGTTACATTAGTCCTAAAACATACTGTCAGGTAACAAATCCAAAACCATCAGAAACCTTCCCTGGCACATGTAGTTTATCCGGAAACAAACATTTCTGAAACCAATTATGAAAGAAACATAAATCTAGAAAAGTCTGTTTATAACATTTCAAATTTATTTAAAAAAAACAAATGCTCTTCTTTTTCTAAAATGTACAAAATTATTCTATTTAAGTACTTCCTTATATTATGTATCTAATATAACTTACAGAAGTAGTTCTCAAAGTGTAGTCCCCACCCCTGTAATCCTAGCACTCTAGGAGGCTGAGGCAGGTGGATTGCTTGAGTTCAGGAGTTTGAGACCATCTCTACTTAAAAAATAAAATAGGAAAACTAGCCTGGAGTTGTGGCAGATGCCTGTAGTCCCAGCTACCCAGGAGGCTGAAGCAAGAAGACCACTTAAGCCCAAAAGTTTGAGGTCGCTGTGAGCTGGGACACCATGGCACTCTACCTAGGGCGACAGAGTAAGATTGTCTCAAATCTAAAGGAAAAAAAGTGTAATCCTTACACTTGAGGCATCGACATCATGGGGAAAAGTGTTATCAATGCAAATTCTCTATTCCAGACAAGAGTCAGAAACTCTGGGAGTGGGGCTGAATCTAGGGTTTAACAAGTTCTTCCGGCGGTTCTCTGCACACGAATGAGTGAGAACCACCAACCCAGGGTTACCAAGACCGTCAGAAAAGTGAATTCCAAGAAGGCTGAATTCACTTTCATCTGCCTCCTACAATGTATCAGAAATGCAAAGACCACCCCAGCTCAACTGCTCATCATACACTACACAGGCAAACATACAACAAACCATTTTTGTGTGATAATTTAAGTTTATTCCCTTTGGAAAAAAAATCCTGAAATACTGATCTTGAAATTCAAAGAAAATGTAAACCTCTGGCTTTTAGGATATTCAAATCCTAATTGCGCCATTTTATAAGTAAAATACAAATTATTAATCATAAAAATATCACCAAGCATTGCCAACTCTAATTTTAACATTATTAAAACACGAACATTAGAAAATGTGGCTATGGATATTACAGTGCAAAGTCACAAGAGCTTGTATTTTGAATGCAAATGGCAATTCTGATTTAGAACTCGTGACATTTAAGATCTAAGGAAAACTAGATCTTACAAATTTATGATTCTACCTTCTCTGTAAGAAAAGCTCTTGGCTGTAAGTTCTGAATATCGTACAGCCACATTCTCTCTGGTCTTAGCAAATCGGGAAGAGGTTTTTAACATGAAGGCACAGTCAACACGGGTGCTGGTGAGAGATGTTGACCATTGTCACATCCTGTAGTCACAGATTAAGGACCTTAAGACACAGTGAGGAGATACAGTCTGTCCCGCGTCACAGCTCCTAGTCGGGAATGCTGAAGGGCAGCGAGCTGATGACCTCTCCGGACTCGGTGACGATGGCGTCGTAAACCCAGCGGCGGTTGCAGCGGCACTCGGGCCCGCACTTGTTGGAGTTGCACTTGGGGCAGGGGTAGAAGCAGCCCAGGCAGTTCCTGTCCAGGCAGTCGCACAGGTCGGCCTTGTTGCAGACCAGCTTGCCGCTCTTGTCGTACTTCCTCAGAACCCTGCAAGGGAAGGCGTGACACTGAGAGGACAGTGCAACTGTCTGCAACACTGAGAATCAATGATGACGCAGCAAATCTCATGCACGGGGCCCTTTCACTAGGGGATCAGCGCCCTAGAGACCACCCAGAAGCGCTCTGGGATATTCTAAGGCAGTGATGTCCTGGGAAATTCGATCAACATGCAGTTTTCAGCACAGCCAGGCTTGGGATCGAGAGTAATACATCGTTTTACCATCATTGCCGGAAAATGTTAATGAGCCACCTAAGAAAATTATAGGGCGTAGCTGACTACAGCTTCCTCCTACAAATGTTCCAAATTTTTCTTTAAAATCTTACGGTTCTTGATAGGTTCCCCCCCCATAAATTAGACTTTTTCTTTTCTTTCTTAAACGCACTGTACTGAATACAACTACTACATTTTTTTCATGACTCAGGATGAGAACTGTCAGTTACCACACTACAATCATTTAAAGAAATAAAAGCCCTTCTTTGCTAACAGTCCCCGGGTGCCATTCTGGTTCTGTTTTTAACCCAGTGTGGTGGAGAAAAGCCGGTAACAAGATGGTAAGATCAGTCCGTATCTGCGTTCTTCCCGCGCTCTGACCCAAGGTGAGATGTTTTGTGTGGGGGGAGCTGGGAGGAACCACAGCCAAGACCTCCCCTTGGACTCCCAAATTCTGTCAGCCTCTGTAAAAAACATGTACAAATGACTTCCGCAAGAATTCCACCACCCTCTGAAAACCAAATCATTTCAGAGTAAATCCTTCAAAACTGAGCTGTTGTAAAGCCTTAGAATAACAAAAATCTCTCTGTATAACTTGTAACCCTTATTAATAGGTGAAGTCCAAAAGGCCGTCCCTAAACTAGTGTGGTAACATACATGCTTCTACACTCGTGTCCCCAAGAAGGCACCTATCTGCTGTCCTCGTGTGCAGTTCAGTTATGCTGTTCTGTCCTTTTTCCTGATAGAGCAGGAAAGGGGAGTCATGATCTATACTTGCTGCCCGAGATTCACACTTCAACAGAAATGCCTTATAATGAGGATTTACATTTAAATTGCTTCACCTGTAGAATGAGACCTTTCTCAAGATCCCAGGAAATTCAGCAAAAGAGGAGATTTAAAATCCATTACAGGGAAGTGGTGCTGTGGCTCAAGGAGTAGGGCGCCAGCCCTATATACCGGAGGTGGCGGGTTCAAACCCGGCCACAAAAAGAAAAAAAAAAATCTATTCTAGAAATGAAGGGGGTGAATGGCCCTGAAACCAATCTAGAGCGCAGGTCAGAGTCTGCCGTTCTGTCTTTGCTTTAACTCAAACACTCCCCTGCCATGACTCAGACATCAAGACACAGATTTGATGGTTTCCCATCCATCTGATGCAATCTGTTGTGAAATTCTGCACTATCACACACCTAAAAGCAGACAAATACATGTATACATGCATAAAGAAGATTAAAACACACTTCTGTGCGCTCCTGCCCAGCTCAATAAGAGTACTAAGCTTCTCCTTTTCATGCCCCATGTATCCCTCCACCCACCCCTCCAAACAACCACACCGTGATATTATAAAGAGCACTCTTGATTGACTTTCAGTTATGCCACATATGTGTGTATCCCCAACCACATTGTAATTTCTCTTCCATATCTTGATTTTTTATTGTTCATCATGATTCGCTCTTTTTCCATGATGGTACATGGAGCTGTATTCAAATATTTTATGTGTCTGTATTGCACTTTATGAATATATCACAGTAATTTATCTTTTCCATTATTATGGGCATTTGTATAACTAACACTTTACGTTCTTTGCTATTATTGCAATGCCATGAGAAACATGTCTCTCCTCATATATGTATAAAACTCTTCCCAGGATATATACTCTGGAATGCAGATGTTAGGTCCTAAGATACATAGGTAATGCTAGCCTGCTTTTAAATAGTGCTTATACTGTTTTACACTCAATTCATGTCCTATAGCTTCATCAGCTTTGATATCATCAGACGAAACTCTTTGCCTACCTAGGGAATATGGCACTTCTACATGGCGTACCAATGAGGTTCAGTATCTCCAATTTTTTTTTTTTTTTGAGA